TATAAAGTGAAGCATCAGCTTCAGCTTTTCCCCCTGTCGTTTATCCCAGCGTTTACCCCTCACGTCACTAGCTCCGCCCTTGCGCCATAACTCGTGACCGAAAGAGTAGAGGAGTCCTTTTGAGGGGGAGGGGAGGTTAACGTTGTTTATTAAAGATTAAGAGGGCACATGAATAAAAAAAAAAATAATGAAGTGCACGGATAAATTATTTATAATAAACACTACAGTATTCCATTAAAAAATAAGAATTTTCCATTTTGATTTCATGGTGACTTTAATTGAAAAGATCGATTACATAAGTATCTGTAGGAAGCTCACACTGCATGGGTGATGATCACAAAGATAGATGCAGTAGAATAGAGACCTGCACTCCCGCGGGAGTACCGTGGGACCCAACGCAACAGCGTGCGGCGCGACAACTCTTGATGGGCGAGTGCGGGAGCGGGCGGGAAGAGACTCGTGTGTGTGCGGGATGCGGGAGAATAAAATGATTATCTAAACATAAAGTGTCTAAAACATATAAATTGTTATTTATCTGTTGCACAAAAGCAAAAAGAGCAACTAATATTAACATTAAAATAATTGTGCAAGCTAGGCATAGTTTCTATTTATAACACGTATTTAAAGGGTTGCGCAATGTAGCCAATCACAGACTCAGCTGTTGATTTCTGGAACGCAGTGGCCAATCAGAGGTGATTAAGTTAGAATCTACTCACCGCAGTGCTGAAATTGCGTGCTCACGAATCCTCTCATTTTAACACGCGAAGTGTAGACATTGTGAAATATTCATTGTGCATATATTTATTGTGTTATAACAGAGCTTTATGAAATCGCGATTAACTGAGATGTCAGTTTTTTGTTATAATAAAGGAAGCGCTGCTCGCATACTGCCATGCCAAACCATGCACGAAGCAGACCAAGATTGCTTTTCTGTTGACTTTAGTCTAGCTAGAGTTGAAGCACTCTCAAAAACTCCCATTATAATCACTTAAGCCGTTTACACTGTGAAATGAATATTACTTGCATTCGTACGCACATCTGCACTTTGTTTATGATGAGCGATTACACCACAGAGCAGAATTCCGTCAAGCATTGAACAAAACACCAGCGTTTCAGTGATGACTCACCTGAACGCCTCTGATTGGCCATTGCATTCATAAGCTCAGCAGAATCGTGTGTGATTGGTTATAATGTGCAGCGCTGTAAAAATGCGTCTGGCTCAGCGCCAGCCAAAGCACGGATGCAGATTTGAATTTAGCAGTTAGTGATGTGCCGCACTAAATCAAATATAACAAATATTATTTGGCTATTTTTTGTCTTTTGGAAGCTGCATTCAAAATACACTTGGCTCAAAAATCTGAGGGGGCACATGCCCCACACTTTGAATGGGCATGATGCTGCACCATACACGTAGTGCAGGATATAGGGGATATGGAATGATTCAGACAGCGTAAATATGCTTTCCATTGGAAAAGAGGTCTGGTTTGGCGTTGTGTCACGCGAACCGCCGCAGCGCGCACACAGTCTGCTCCGGTGTTGTGCCGAATTCTGCACCCCTGCCAGATTATGCACCCCCTCGTTGAAGTCGCTACCTGATTGCCTAATCCCAACCCCACCCCTAATCCTAACCCCTCCCCCACACCTACTCCGAAACCTACCAATACTAGGGGGTGCGTAATCTGGCAGGGTGCAAATTTCGGCACTACATCTGTTCACACAGTGCAGATCATATGCGTGAGTCTTGCAGATCACAAAACGGATGCATTTGAATTCGAAACCGAATGCTATATTTTATAGCGATGTAGATGAGATTGGGAGGAGAAGCGGTTAGACAAACAGCACTGACGAGTATAAGAGATAACACCAGTACCATGCACCAACATAAATGACACAATTTTCAAACTACACATCCTCAGCATCATTATAATCACTGCTTTGCTTTAGTAACAGTTTCATATTGAATCTAAAGAGGTAATCTATTAGACTGTGGCTGTCAAATGCGGCTTTACCGAGCTCAACAGCTCGGTTCATGATTGTTTTACTGTAAGTAAAATGTTTAATAAGCTTCTTGAGTCACAAGATAAATGTCCTGTCCGTAATTATAAATCATAAAATTAACTTTTTATCAAGTGGTCTTATAAGAAATAGCATACAGCAGTTGACCCGTATTGTTCCTAATAGGCCAACTAAGATGAGAAGACATCGAACTTCTGACAAAAAACATTAAGTGAATTAATTGTGATAAAAGCACATTCATGATCTTTACCAACATTATTTTCATTGTGGGGACAAATTGGGAAAAGTGAAGAAAAAATGTAAGGGCTAAGTGACTGGGGATTATAAGGCTTAAAGGGAAGTCTCACAAGCTGCTACAAGCATCAACATTTAAAAAAAACATTGGGAGCTTATTTGGGAGTCTTATTTGCGAGCTTAAATGGTAC